TTTTTTTTTTTTTTTTTTTTTTTTTTTTTTTTTTTTTTTTAACAAGGCGGATCCAGGACAGTGATTCTACCCCCAGCAGACTGGCGGAGCCACAAGTAGGACTGAATCCAACACTTGCTCCGCCCTCTGTCTTGTTCCAGCAGACTGGCGGAGCCACAAGTAGGACTGAATCCAACTTTTTTCTTTGTTTCCAAGTTGTGATGAGGAATATTATTCCCAAATAAATGGAGGGCTCTTCCTCTTCTCCCTGATAAGCGTACATTAAAAATAAAAATAAAAAAAATATCCATAGATTTCTAGAGGCTTGTGCGAAGAGAGGAGAATGGTTTTGCTAAAGGGCGGAACCCGGGGGGCGGGTTAGGGGTTAAAGAGCTGAGTTTTTTTTTTTTTTTTGTTTTTCTTTTTCCTCGTATTTTTTTTTGGGATAAGAGCAGAGTTTCGTCCCTGGTGATGATATGGACACAGCAGCGAGACGCCCTTTTTTTCCCTTGTCTTGTGTCGTTTTTTGCCCAGAAATGATCAGAAAAGGTGGCCAAGCCGGTGCAAACATGCGCTAACCCATCATGAGGGAACGGATCAGCCCTAATATAATAGAACAGGACACCATTCATCGTATCGTAACTGTGAATTAGAAAGTTGGGGCTACCCCATCCCCCAGCACTGTGAGCACATGTGTCGTGATGTGTGTGCATGTGAGTGCAAGTCCTTTTTTTTTTCTTTTTTTTTTTTCACACAAATGCTCCAATCTATTCGTCCAGTCTCATTTCCGAAGGGCCCCTACGAATTAGCAAGGACCTCTCGTGGAGCAGAGATGGATATTAGATGTGTTGATTGTCTATGTGGGCCGATAATATATAGTCTGGATTCGAATTCAGGTCTGTGGCACTCTGTGCATCACAGTTATGGGTCACTATTTCTCTGTTTTCTCGTTTTTCTTTTGTTTTCTCGTTTTTCTTTTGTTTTCTCGTTTTTCTTTTGTTTTTTCTCGTTATAGTGGCCCTAAGGCCCTCTGCTCACCACATGCTGAAAGATGTTCCACGAATTCAGAAACTTTAAGGCCATAGTCGGGTACCTTAGCAGTCCAGTCCACAACAGGCACCCAGCAAACAGTCGCATCTTAGGGGCAAAAATCACGTTTCATAATGAAAAGTCATATTGAAGAGTCACATCCCACGAGTAAAGGGCAGTTCCACAGGCCAGATTCGTGTCCTAGTGGCAGGAGTCAAAATCATGTGCCAAAATCAAAAGTCACGACTCAAAGGCCCAAGCAGCAGCAGACCAATGGAAATTCGGGAAGGTTCCAGGCCTTGACATTTGAAAGCAGACAGGCCGTCGTCCTCTACTCACCACATGCACAAAAGACAAAACATATGGGGGCGTTTTTTTTTTTTTGTTTGTTTGTTTTTTTGAACGCGCAGGGTGTTGTAGAGGCCAAGGACCAGACCCGCAGTGATTGCTGGTAGCAGCAGGCAATGGTTGTCCTGACAGGACAGGCCACCTACCCCATCCATACCCACCTTAATACTCCCAGCGCACCCCCTGTCCCTACTCTCCTACCTCAGTGTGACCAGCACTTAGGACCATCACCCTACCTGTATTGAGGGCAACTTGGCACATCCCCCATCCCCCATCCCCCAACACCCGCCGCCCCAAGTTGTGTTTTTTTTTGTGTGTTTGTGTGTTTTGTGTGTGCGTGTGTTTGTGTGTGTTGTGTGCGTGTGTGTGTGTGTGTGTGTGTGTGTATGTTTATGTGTGTTTGTGTGTGTTGTGTGTTTGTGTGTGTGTGTGTTTGTGTGTTTATGTGTTTGTGTGTTGTGTGTCTCTGTGACTGTGTCTATCTGTCTGTGTGTGTGTGCGTGTTTTTTTTCGCTTTTTTAAAGTTTTTTATTTGTTTTTTATGGTTTTGATTTTTTTAAAAATACAAAAATTAAAAAAAAAAACAAATAATATGTTGTTGTACATCTTTGAAAGATCTACAACCCTTGAACGTGGTTTTGATTTTTTTTTTTCTGTTTTAGCCCTTAAAAAATCTCCGTGAAACCCGAAACAAAAAAACACTCATTTCATTTTTGTTTTTGTTTTTTTCAATGTGTTTATGTTTTTGATTTTTTAAAAATATAACCAAACATCAAAAAATAGAAAGAAAAATATAGGGTTGTAGTCCTCGACAAGACCTACAACCCCAATTTTTT